TATGTACTGCTGAACCTTCGGCCATCATAAAAACGGTTCCTATGAAGCATCTTGACAGCGAGCTCTCTTCAAGTGATCCGCCTTCAAACGCTGTCGAATATTCTTTCTTTTAATACCTCTCTATTTCGAGTCTTCACGCCCCGTTCGCCGTTAAGCATTTTGCCTGACGGCTGGCTGGCTGGCTGGCTGGCTCCCAGTACGAAACGAACCTTATGTCGAATTAAGACCACAATGTGTCCCTAAGATTAAACAGGTAAATACTGTATTTACAGGGACCTTACTTTATTACCTAACGACACTCCTTAAGAACTTTCAGTCAACAGCTGTACAAGTAGACGTTGGATGGGTCGATAGTGCACCAGTCCAACGTTGGCCTAGCAAGGTACTACTTAATTCGCTCTTCCACGTCTGGGAACGCTGTGTCAATTACGCAACGATTTTCTTGAGAGTTGTTACTAAAACGAGATTCTACGGAGCACAAGGCAAACTTTTGGCGATACGAAGAGATAGAAAAGACTGAAATCCCTAGTACCGAAATAGTTGCCCTTCAGCGAGCCTCTAACGTGTCCTACCTGTCCTTGTTTAGTTGCATAGCTGAAACCAATGAACGCTCAAGCCGTTTCTCTGCGTTGCCTGAACTGGCAATAGCTCATACACTTAGTTCGAACCCGAGCTTGGAGCCTCTGCGTATTGAAAGAGAGATTGCTAAATTTCGTAATATCAGGTGATCCGCAGGGAGAGAATGCATCATAGCTATATGACAGCAAGAAGTTAAACTGTGTGAATGAAATCAGCTCCGTATCAAAAAACGAAAATCATTGTGACCATATGAAATTTGGCATAGACTAGCAACTGGTGGTTTTTGGGACTTCCACGCAATATACGCACCTATTTATAATAATAAAGCCTACATAAAAAATAGTCGGTCGGCACAGTCGATGAAGTGGGCGCAAAAAACAGGCCTATGTAGTGTAACTGGTAGTCGCGTACATCAGATTAAATGTTGGCTCCGTACATGCTTTAGAAAGGTGTAACATTGCTGCGGAAAAGAAATCATGGCCGACGGGAAAAGTTATCTTTTGTGTCTCGCATCTTTAAGAAAAATAAACAAGTATCTGAAAATTCATAGAGATTAAAAATAACAATACAAAAACAAGTGTTATCTATGCGATAATTGCAGGTATTGTAAATTCTCAAACCAGCACGCCGATCGACAGCCATGTTATACTAAAGTTACATAAATACAAGCTAAACTTAACACCATAACAGTTGTTATATGTATGACATATCAGTGGATATTACTAATATAAACTATAAATATATTCTTCTAGTATATAAGAACATCTAGTAGACACTTTGACATAGCAACGTTACAGCTGATCGGTTACCGCACGGACACTTTCTTAGCAGATGCGCCCGCCTTCAGGCAGGACAAAATGAAAACGATAGAAAACCACTGACGTAGCAAAAGAGGGTAATAAGATATTCTATGAAGTTCTTATTACCTTAGTGCATAAAAAAAGCGTTACTTAATTTTCAATTTAGCTATGTGAGGCAATATTTGTATCGAAGTTAACTGCGGCCACAATCACGAATAGTTTAAGTAAATTATATTCAAATATAATACTATCAATTAGGCTTACTTCGGTAACGTGCCCTGAACAAAAAACTTTTAGTACTGCTGCGTACATGGTAATCAGTGGAATTTCTATTCCGTGCTCGCCAAAGCACGAGGACTTTCTCTTGCACGTTTCATCGTAGTTCATTGTTTCCGCCTATAATCTTTCTATAGTTGTATGTTGCTCACTCGTGTTTCCCGTCCGTGCGAGAACGAGGCTAAGCACTTCATCCTGGGTCCACTCGAACCGGTGCCGGTATTGTTATTCCAGTCATACGCTAGAACGAGACGGTAGGGTAACAGGAGTATGCAGCAGAAGTGAATCATACTTTGCATGACGACGAGTGACCGAAACTGGGCATCTACTTCGTAGAATCTGTAAGTTTATGTGGCGGCTGAATTGAATCTTGTGCAGTAATAAAGCTGGCGCAAAAAGCACTACGATAAGCGATACAGAACAAACATTATATATAGACAAACAATTCTATATATATATATATATATATTGATACATGATTGTCTAACTAGTGTAACTAAAACTAAGATGAAGCAAGAGCCGTAATTGTGTAACTAGTAAGCATCAGCTTAATTCTAAATTCTGGTATGTAGGAAACATATACCCGGTACGATACACGCTAAGGAGAAAAAAATGTTCCATTGGGCTTTACTCAATGGCTGCGTCGCTATCCGTCTATCTTTCAATAGCGAAAAAAACACTATTTTATCTACTAGCCGTGTTTTAATTTTCGAAATTTATATATGTCACAGAGAACATAGCAAGTAGCAACAAGCGCTTCGAGTGGTTAGTGTTTTTGTAATGCAAAGCCTAGAGGGAAGACGAGTCCACCTTCTTGTACAACTTTCCGATATGGATGAAAAAAATAATCTTTTACATGCTATTAGCTGAGCCATGGTTTGCATCTACCCTGGTTGTACACACGCACCGATCATCTCAGAGACACTTGAAGCAATGCATCGAGCGATACAAAATGCCCTACTGGAAAAGACAATGTGTTTTCCAGATTTTACTTTGAATACACACTTAAAAAAAAAAAAAAAAGCTTTCCAATCAACCACAAGGAAAACGAGAGAACAGTTTAATTTTTGCCCAGTTTGGTGGAGAACACTTGAGAATTTGTGAACCACTCAAATGTAAAGATTGCTGACATCTTCGAGATCTACACAGTAGACAGTACAATAAAGGACAGAGTAGGTTTATTTTTAATTAGTTAAATGTAACAGTAGTCTACTCAAGAAAATGATCGAGAATTACTATTTTTTTTTTATTTTGAAACAGCATCACAGAGGACATCAGGGTATCACAGGGTAGTGCAATGGCGGTGCCATGCCAAGACGCTTACACATACGTAATTGATACAAGGAAATAAGGTATCACTGATCATAGGCCAAACAGGACACGTTAATGAAATGTACGAATGAAGAAAACTGAATCAATTCAATTGAACTGATAAAGCTGAGCAAAATGGAAACACATCAGACTAACGGGATGAACGGTTCGTTGAAACTGTGTTAGTAGAAGAACCGCAATGAGGAATCGCTAATGAAACAACGAAGATAGCTGTATCAGGAAAACATGAGAAAGAAAATAAAGCAACGTATTAGAAACCCTCTACATGAACCGTAGGGATCATGTGTGAAAAAACAAAATCATACTATGAGGATGGACGAACTTTATGGATGTGATATTCGGC